TTATAGTTGTGTCACTGTGGAGGTTCAATGAATTAACAGGTGAGAGACAGATATTTGGGGCTCGGTTGGTTATCTCCCTATGATTGTACTTGGTAGGCTCCGTGCATCCACAATGGGCTGAGAATGTCTTGACTCTGTGGTAAAGTACTATAGATCTGTAGCTATAGATATACAATTAAAGAAAAAGTTTTGTTTTTATGCCAGTGTGTCTCAAGACAAGAGTCCCATCCTATTCTCCCCCCCCCCCCCAATTAAGTAGGATAACAGGTTGTTCTTGATAGGTCAACCTACAAGTGTTCTGTGTCAATGTAGAGGAAATTGCATATGTCCATGCTCCCCCTCCTCGTTGTTTGTGATCTGTGCCTCTTATATCCTAATACTCAACTGTACATTGGTACTTTTACGGACAAGAATAGTCAACTCATCATGCCCCAGCCTAAAAGATCTTTGTGTATTCTAAAAGCCATAACACCCACCATCACTACTATTTGTACAACAGCCACTTTGGGCTCCCCATAGGGTTTTTATATTGAACTAGTCCAGTCTGACTGTTTCCATATGTGCAAGACATAGAGTCGAACCTACCCAAGAGAACAACCCATTGTCCAGGAGGAAAGCGGCCATATCAGACAGGTGATCCTCTGGTCTTTTGTCATGGTGATTGTCTTGGACAGGTGGTCGTTAGAATAGGTTCATATTTATTTCAATCTCTTTGTTACTGTCTGTGTGAGATGGTTTGGGTACACAGGGAACCACTTTTGTAGAACAGGTCGGGGACAGTTGCTTGATGTGTGTGTGTATGTGTGTGTTCATTTTTGTGTGTTTTTATCTTTGTTTCCAAGAAAGGCAATGTTGTTTCCTCCTCCTTTATTTTGTTGACCGTAGTTTACTATCGTTATTTTGGTGTGGACAACAACACAACTGCTAAATGGCTGAGAGCAAGAGTGTGTGATCCTGTAGATTCTGTGACTTCGAAGTCTTGAGTTGTTTTTTTTTTAAGCATTAGAATAATTTGTACATAATCATGTTTGATAATTTTGTGTGTGTATGATTATGAATGTATGTATGTGTGTAAGGAAAGGCACATTCATGTTAATACATTTCTTCTTTACTTTTTGTTTGTTTGTTACTTTCACGTTGACTTGAGAATTTTGTTCAAATGATATTTCTGTGTTTATGTTGTTGTTTTGTTTAAATGCGGAGAGAAATGACACTTAAATCACTTGCTATTGAATGCTCAGGTACTGTGGCCTGATACTGCGGGCTGATGGGCTGTACTGTAAGTGCATGGCCTGGCACTTGAGCAGGTGTACAGTAATTTCTTGCTTACCTTGGCTCCATGGAGACATTTGGGAGTGTTACTGTAAATATACACATGTAGGTGTGTGAACTAACTTCAGTGTTATACAAAATTTCATCTGCTGAGCAGTTGCCAAAACTGAACATTCCGAAGTGCCCCTCTTGTCCCCTATACTCTTTATTCCCCCCCCACCCCCATATCCCTCCCTGTCCCTTCTACAGTTTCTGTGGAGTGAGTGCCTGTACTAAGAGTTCCTCTCAGAATCTCTCACTACGGCTGTAGCACACTCCCTGACCTGACTTACTCTACCCACCAGCTGCTGCCCACCCCTACATATCTACTACAGCCACCACCGTTTTTCTCCCCACTCCCCCCTCTGACAGAAAGGCTGTGCTGTTTAAGTTTATCTGTAACATTTTTCTATATTATCCCCACCCCAAAGTTTTTTAAATTCTGGGTGCTGAGGAAATGTCTCTACAGTCAATTTTGAAATTAAAAAAAAAGACAATTGAGCCAATGAACTGTTCAGATTCTTTACTTCGTGGCATTGAGAGGCACTTTCTAGTGTAGCATGGTCACAAGTACAACAACGGGGCTGTGGGTGGGATATGATGGTGAGGTCTAGTGTGAACTCTTTGCATTTTTTGTTTTTTTACCAGATTCTTTTCACTTCTGGGTTCAGCTCCTCTTGTTTTGTCAACTGCTCCACCCATGTTTTGCCCACACATCCTGCCGTACTCTATACTCTTGCACTAAGGTATTGTTATAGACTGACAGAGTAGCAGAGGATGTGCTGATGGCTCAGTTTTTCATCAAGTTGAACTAGTTTTTCTGTTTGTCCATTTCTCTGTGTTGATGAATAAGTAGGGGAGTGTAAAAGTAAACGGGGCCAAAAGTAAAAGCATCTGATTTTTGTCACGAGTTTTAAGAAATAATGTTGCTGCCACTGGTGTGTGTTTCCAGCTTGTCTTTTGGAGTAGTGGAATTCATTTTCAATTTTCTGTTTGCGGTATCTTGCCCACAAGAAAGTTGAATCCCGTTTTGCACCACAGATGATTTTTCGGGCTACATCTCAGCATTAATGATTACAAGAAAGCAGGGAGGTGGATACCCTGAGCATGTACAGATGTTTGATCCTGGCCACCGAGTGAGGTGTGAGTTT